GAGAAGGACTCAGAATTGCTGGAATCTTCTGAGCTTGCAAGTTTGCTGAGATTGCTCTCTTCAACTTAGACACATGAAACACCGGGTGGATATTGCTGTATGACGGCAGCTCCAGCTTATATGCCACTGTACCCACTCGCTCCACAATCTGATACGGGCCAAAGAACCACGGTGCCAGCTTCTCATTCTGACGGTGAGCAAGAGAACTCTGCCTGTATGGTCTCAGCTTCAAATACGCCCAATCACCAACCTCATACTCCATGTGGCGCCGGTGTTTGTTAGCTCCCTTAATCATCCACTTCTGAGCAAGCTCCAAGTTCTCTCTTAATTCCACCAACAAGCTGTCACAATCCTTTAACAGCTCTTCTACCTGAGCATTGGCAGTCGGCGTATCCCCATAGTGCAGTATCTTCGGGGGTGCTCTGCCATACATAATAAGGAATGGAGTCTGCTTAGTAGAAGAGTGATAAGAAGAATTGTACCAAAACTCTGTCCACGGAATCCACTGAACCCAAGAAGTGTGTTTGCGCCCAGCAAAACATCGCAAGTAGGTATCCAGGCATCTATTGACGACCTCTGTCTACCCATCCGTTTGCGGGTGGTAGGCGGTGCTCTTGCGCAGTTCTGTTCCCTGCATTTTGAACAATTCAGACCAAAAATGACTGAGAAACACCTTGTCACGGTCAGAAACTAGCGTCTCCGGATAACCGTGTAGCCTCACAACTTCTCAGATGAAAGCTTCAGCGACAGTCTTCGCAGTAAACGGGTGCTTCAAGGGTATGAAGTGCCCGTACTTGCTCAAGCGGTCAACTACCACGAGGATTACACTGAAGCCTTTAGATAAAGGTAACCCTTCAATGAAATCCAAACTGATATCAGACCATATTTGTTGCGGAATGGGCAATGGTGACAAAAGTCCCGCCGGAGAAAGTGTCGCATACTTGTTTTCCTGACATATGTGACACTGTCGGATGAACTTCACCACATCCTTTCTCATCCCCTTCCAAGAGACTTCCTGAGCTAGTCTTTTATATGTCTTAAGAGCACCTTCATGACCCCCCATGGCACTCGAGTGAAACTGATTGAGGAGCGTCGGAATGAATGGTGAACCTGGAGGTATTAGCAAACGCCTTTCTTGATATAACAGCCCGTCTTTAGCCACATAACCCGAGTATAGCTTCTCTCCTGCTTCCACACTCTTAAGAATCTTCCCCAATTCTGCATCTTCCCTGATATCCTTCTGCAGTTGCGCCTTGTCAAGTGACAAAGGCACGGTCAGAGTAAGTTGTTGTATCTCTTCCCCCTGAGGCCTCCTCGAGAGTGCATCCGCTACCTTGTTTTCTACCCCAGGCTTGTACTCGATCCGATAATTCAGCCCAATGAGTTTCGCAGCCCATCTCTGCTGCACCGATGACACTGCCTTTTGTTCTAGAAGGTGTCGCAAGCTTCTTTGGTCCATCTTGATAATGAACTCCTTGCCTGTCAAGTAGTGTTTCTACTTTGTCACAGCCTTTACAATGGCAAGGAGCTTCCTCTCATAGACTGATTTGATCCTTCCTTTCGGTGAAAATGCTTGGCTCAGAAATGCAATAGGCCCCTTTGCTTGGGAGAGAACAGCTCCAATTCCGGCTCCCGAAGCATCTGTTTCCACCGTGAAAGTCTGACTGAAATCCGGGAGAACCAGCACGGGAAGGTTAGTAACAGCTGCCTTCAATGCTCGAAATGATGTCGTGGCATCAGGGCTCCAGAGAAACTTATATTTCTTAAGGAGGTCTGTGAGGGGTCTCGCGATTAGTCCATATCTTCTTACAAACCTCCTATAGTACCCTATTAGCCCCAGGAACCCGCGAAGCTCAGTCACAAACTTAGGGGTAGGCCAACTCAACATGGCTTCAATCTTCTCAGGGTCGGCTGCTACTCCTGATGCAGAGATCCTATGTCCGAGATATGTCACTTCTGTGCTCCCGAAAGTACACTTCTTTGCGTTGGCACAGAATTGATGCTCACTTATCAGACGAAGCACCGTTTGTAAATGCTCCAAATGGGAAGTGATATCCGGACTGTAGATGAGGATGTCGTCGAAGAAAACCAACACTAAACGCCTCAAGTATGGACGAAACAAATCATTCATCACGCTTTGAAAAGTTGACAGTGCGTTGGTTAGCCCAAAAGGCATTACCAGGAACTCGTAATGCCCTTGATGAGTCTTGAAAGCAGTTTTCTCCACATCACTGCTCTTCATCCTTATCTGATGATACCCTGACTTTAAATCCAGATTTGAGAACACTGCTGCTCCACTCAGTTCATCCAGCAGCTCCTCTATAACCGGAATTGGATACCTGTCAGGAATCGTCACCTTGTTAAGGGTTATGTAGTCTACGCAGAATCGCCAACCACCATCCTTCTTTTTGACCAAGAGAACAGGGCTTGAGTACGGGCTTATACTTGGCTGAATAACCCTTGCCTCCAACATTTCTTGTACGAGTTTCTCGATCTCGTTCTTCTGAGTGTAAGAGTATCGATAAGGTCTCATATTGATAGGACCCGCTCCGCTTTGTAAGGTGATCCTGTGCTCACGATTTCTAGCTGGGGGTAGTCCTAGTGGCATGTCAAACACTCCCTTATACTGCTGCAAAACTCCTTGCACCTCTCTCGTATAACACTTTCCCTCCAGTGGTTTGCTACTCTCAAATAGGGAAGTCAACTCCAGCAAGTAAACCTCTCCCTTCTTCTTGATTATCTTCTCCATAGAGTTGGGGGAGATTTGCTCTCTGCTGAGGTTCGGGTCATCCACTATGGTTACCCAGAGGTCTCCTATCTTCCAACTGAGAGTGCTCCTTAACCAGTTAATCCTCGTATCACCCAAAGAGGCTAGCCAAGAATATCCTAGTACCACGTCAGTCGTTCCCAGCTCAAACAATAGGAACTCTTCCACTATCTCGACGCCCTGAATGTCTAGCAGCAGCCCCGAGCATCTGCCCTTCCCACTTAAGATCTGTCCATCAGCTACTCGGACCCCAAATCCCCTCGTATCAGTTTGTGGTAACCCCAACTCTGCAGCTAAGGACTCTGATTCGAAGTTACTAGTGGCGCCAGAGTCTATGAGCACAATGACCTCCTTGCCTCCAATTTTACCCTTCATCTTCATGGATCGAATGGCTGTTAAACCCACAATGGAGTGAAGCGACAGCGTCACTAGCTCCTGCGGTTCTTCTTCTTACTCTGCATTGTTTGTTTCCAGAGTTTCCTCCTCCGCAACTCCTTCTGCTTCTTCTCCTTCTTTGACCTCTAAACACTTGAGCTTGTGTTTACAACAGTGTCCCGGAATCCATGGCTCACCACAGCTTCTGCAGGGGTTGTTACTGCGAGCAACTATGTTTCCACTAGGTCTTTTACTGTCGCGGTTAACTTCAAAGGGTTTCTTGAAGGAAGTCGCTTCATACCCCTTGGTGTATCTGAAACCTTGTGTTCTGTTGACCGGACTAGTTACCGTGGTGGTTACTGTGCGAGGTGTCGCTCTGTTGAAATAGCCCGGGTTGTCACCTTCCTGAGACTCTATCAACTTAGCGATGTCGATGATATCTGCCATATTCACCGGTCTACACCGCACCACCTGGTCGCGTAGATTCTTCCTTAACCCTCGTAAGAAGGCCGACTCCAACACATCGTCTGGCACATGAGGAAGTTCCACGGCTAAGGCTTCGAACCTCTCTCTGTATTCTTCCACACTTTCTGTCTGGTAGATACAAAAAAGATGGTCCACCGACGAGGTCCCACGGCTTTGCTTGAATCGCACCTTGAACTTTTCCTTGAAGTCCTTCCAAAGCACGATGTGCTCTCTCTCTCTTGAGCTCCTCTCCACCAAGTGACGGCTACCCCGGTGAGACAAGTTACTGCATGGTCCAGCTTCTCCGCATCCGGTATCCCATTCATGGTGAAACATTTTTCCATCCGAAAGAGCCAATCATCCGGATTGTGACCCTCATACGCTGGAAGATCCACCTTTTTTGGTTTGCTGGGTCAGATGGATCTGAGGAAGCGGAGCAAGGGAGGGTTCGGTTCTCAGCTCATGCGCTGCCATCGATGGAAATCTGCCTTGAGGTCTCATCTGGATCTCGTCATTGGGTCGTGGTAAAAACCCTTCGCCGCTGACTCGATCTGTTGTGGGACGCAGTGTTGTCACGGGGTGGGTTGTTGTGGGCTAGGGTTCAGAGTCGAAAACCCCATCGGAACTGTGTCTTGTACTCTGAAAGCTTGGATTCGCAAAGCACTGCGAAGCGCTTGCTCGATCCACAGTATGGCCTTCTCCATCTTGTCCATACGTTGCTCCAGTGTCAACGCCGTGGCGGGTGTCTCCGGAACGTTCATCTCGAGTTCGGAAGCTGCAGATCTCGGATCTGTTTTGTCGATGGTGGGTAAAGAATTCATTGCCGAAATCTCTCAGTGAAAGCACCACTTGATAGGTTATGCCTATCAACGAGTAAAAGGAAATAAAAGAGATAAGGAAAGGAGAGATAAGTTTAAGGGATAGAGGATTGTTTGATTAATTCATTAAAATTGTCATAAGATATGGAACCCTAAATCGGATCACTGTTTAAATACAATGCGATTCTACAGTAAAAGACAATACATGATTTTACAGTAAAAGACAATACATTGCTTTATTGAATTAACTAAAGATTCTTTCTCACACAGAGTCTCTTCTTCATCTTCTGATTTTACAGTAAAAGACAATACATTGCTTTATTGAATTAACTAAAGATTCTTTCTCACACAGAGTCTCTTCTTCATCTTCTGATACTTCCTTTTAACTACTTTGATCGCCCTGTTTCTTTCTCCCAGACTCGAGCCTTCCTCCCCTTAGTTCGCATTTTCTTCCTCACGAAGGCAATAAGCACTTGTAACCTATCATAATGCTAACCGGTATGGAATCAAACCCGGTAGACATTGGAATGGAGTCGATTTCTGATATGTGATCTAAAAACAGGTATTTGTTTCAATTCGTTTTTTCTCTATATAATTATTTGATTTCTTGTAATTCACAAAACTTTAGAATAAGATTATTGTTTGACTTAGACATGAAACAGGCTTAGTTTACTTAAGCTACAAGTTGTAAAAACAATGGAGGGATTAAATTAAACAGCTATGTTACAACAAATACAGATTTGGAAGGAAAGAATCAAAACTACATGACAGTTTTGAGCAGAGCATCAAGAACAGCTTCTTTCGTGGGAAGTGCTGGTATCGCGCCTCTCTCTTTAACGGTTAAGGCCCCGCACGCATTCGCAAACATTAGGGCCTTTCTCAGTCTCTCTTCGTCCTGAGCCAAAACAACTCGGTTTTAGCTACCTACTAGTGTTCTTGGCTTATCACAACTCTTGACAAGAATCAAAACAAGTTTACCTGAAGCAAAGAGAGATCATTCGCTAGTTGCGATAGTATTCCGGCAACAAACGCATCTCCAGCACCTGTTGTGTCCACAACTTCAACTCTCAATCCATGAACTCTCCCACTAAAATCCTGTAAAACCGAGCATTAGCGTTGATAGCGAAGATTAAGGATACGTAGTTCTCATTTTAAAAGCTGTACAAAGTGTGTGTCAAAAGATCAAGAGGAAGAGAAGGACTTTTCACACACCTTAGTGTAGTAACGACATCCTTCAGGTCCTTCGGTGACAATAAGTAGTTTCATCTCAGGATGGAACAGCTTTCTAACGACGGTATCATCATAAGGATCTTCTCCTTTTGTTAGAAACTCAATCTCCTCTTCGCTTATCTTATAAACAAGATTCAAAAGCAGAGACAACAACAAGTTTCAGTTTGAGAAACCAAAGGGGAAAGATAATGAAACTTTGAAAAAGTTGACACCTTTATGATATCAGCAGTGTCCCAAATGCTAAGAATCTCTTCCCTAGCGTTATCTGCAGAAGGCCACAATGGGAGCCTAAGGTTTGGGTCGTATGAAAGAATCACACCAGCTTCTTTAGCTGCCTTTGCTGCAGCAAGGTGTGCAGATTTGCATGGTTCGGTGATTAGACTTATTGAACCGTAATGAAATATCTTTGCCTGCCACAAATATCAAAGGAAAATGATTTGAGGAAGAGGCGAAACCGATGAAACTACATAATGCAGAAAACAGAATGTTTCAAGTAACAACTAAAAGTTAGAAATATAGAAGATAAAGGATCATAATTTCTCTACTTCATCTTGTCACAATACTGATTCAGAAGCCCAAATACTTTGAATATAAATCTTAAACTATGCAAACACTTGACTAGATGAAGTAAAGAATGTGTTCTGTATATGGTTGCTACATACTATACTATGTAAACACTTGACAATGATTTGATGCATAGACAAGATTGGTATATAATTGAGATATCAAGAACACAAAAGCAATTTGTATATGATAAAACCACATAATGCAGAAAACATACTGTTTCAAGTAATAACTAAGCATAGAAATATTTTCTTTACTTCATCTTGTCACAATATTGCTTCAAAATGTTTTCAAAAGCTCAAATCCATTGAACATAACTCTTAAACTTTTGAAAAAACACAAGGGTATACTGTTATGCACGGATCTACCTTAATGTTTTTATCAGATGAGATCATGTATGAAACGAGCAGAGCGAGAAAAAGATCGAGCAGAGCGAGAAAAAGATCGAGCAGAGTCAAGTAATCAATGACGTTTTTTAGCAAAGAGGACTCAAAAAGTATTTACCTTTTTAATCAAATCCAAATCAAGCTCAGATTCTTGTAACAGCATATCAGCACTTGGGTTTCGATAGAACATGAACTCGCGTTCGCCTTCGCTTGTCAAAGTCACAAACGCTAAAGCAGTTCTTGCTCCAGGATCAAAACGCATACCATCACTGTTCACGTTGTTATCCTTTAGAATGTTTGCAAGCATATAACCAAACTCATCTTCACCAACCTATACACCACAACATTGGCATATTTCAAGAAAACTTCAAGAAACAATCAGAGTTTTGAAAATGTTACAAGCTGTAGAACAAATCAAACATGAAGCACAACTGTTTTTTTCTCCTTACCTTCCCAATGAAAGCTGATGAACCTCCTAGACGAGCTATACCTACAGCTACATTCGCTGGAGCCCCACCGGGAGCTTTCTTGAAAGCTGGTGCATCGGCCAAAGAAAGTCCACTTGTCGTTGGTACGAAATCGATCAGCATTTCACCGAAACAGACCACAGAGGGAGAGTCTTGTGTTGAGCCATCGCTAGAAAATGCTCTTCCTTTAAACAAGAAAGGATATTTCTCAGCAACTTTAGCTATATATATAGTCTTGTACGAGAAGAGATGATGGGTTTACAAGGAATAACAAAGAGACATTCTCAGAGAAATAAATGTATTGCATCTGACTTCATTTTTGCATTTATGTAGTGCAAATAAATTACAGAGCTTTTTCAAACACATGAGTTAAGTATGTTTGTAACAAAGAGGCATTCATAGAGAAATCAGCATGTATTTCAATCTAAGTTCATTTCTCAAAGAATGCATTTATTACAAATTTAATACTATTTGTTCTGTACAATTAAATTACAGAGCTTTTTAACACACACGAGTTATCTGTGAAGTATGTCTCTTATAACAAAGAGACATTTATACAGAAAAACTCATGTATTTCAATCTAAGTTCATTTCTCAGAAAATGCAATTATGTGCAAAATTTAGAATTTGTTATGTAAGACTTATTAATGAATTAAATTACAAAGCCTTTTAACACACATGAGTTAACTGTTAAGTATGTTTAACAGCTACTTCCTACTTAGATATATAAGCAGCGAAAATGGATCAGAAGAATCTTGGGATCAACGAAATTCTGTTTATTTTCAGCATTTCAAGAGAATTTCTGGAAAAAGAAAACCAAAATGTGATGCAGGAATCGGATAATTCGCGTAAAAAACTGATGAAAGGTTTAACCTTTGAGATTAGATCGTGAAACCGAGAGAAGCGGCGGAGAAGAAGAAGAAGCTTTAATGGAGATACGACGCTTTGAAGTTAGTGAATCAGGAGGAATTGATCGGAGAGTAGGACCGGAGAAGCAGAACGTAGTGGTAGCTTGGAGAACCATCGCCGGGAACGCTGCAACGGGAAACGCAGAGATTCGAAAGATGCGTTTTGGAGACGCTAACTATATTTTATGCGTTTAGCTTCTGAGGAGGAAGAAAGCTTAAGTAAGAGTGAGAGTGAGCGGAGGAACCGAAGGCAATGATGAAGTTTCATTTGACTAATGGAAGAACGGATTAGGATTTTGTATCAATAAGTTTTAGTATTAACAGATAATGTCAACATTTTCACTTACTTTGTCGACAAAAAATAATTAGTCAAAAAGTTAATATTGGAACTTTTGTTTTTCCTAATTTGATCTCGTGTCGACTGGTTTTTATGGTGTTTTGTGTTCTTCAGATGAGATCTTGCCAAGACAGCGAGATTTCACTAAGATTTGGTTCCCTACCAAATAGTTTGTATCAACTTTTAATGTTTAACTAGGTAATAATCCGCACCTTGTGCGAGGTAAAATAATAATTATTTATTTAATATAGTATAATTTTAAAATTATATAATAAAATATAATTGATTTTAATATTAAAAAAATATTTTTTTTTTATTTTATAAAATATAAGGTAATTTAATTATAATATAAATTAGTTTAAAAATTAAATATATATGCATAAACCGGATAAAAATACGAAGTCGCTTTTTATATTTTCTATAACTCATGATTGATAACATGATTTTAAAATTAAAAAAAAATAGAGGGAGTATATTTTGATTAAATTATTAAGTATCTAATGTGTTATGATAATAATAATAAAAATTTACTACTTTCTCTGTTTCATGTAGATATATTTTTTTAAGGTTTTGTTTTGTTTCACAATATAGTTGTTTTCAATTGTTTTACTACTTCTTATGAATACTATGTAACCGATTATATTTTCAGTTTTTCATAATTAGTTGAATTGTATTTAATTTATATACTAAATGATTACTTTTTAAAGAAAAGTTGTTTTTTAATTTTTGTGCTTTGATGCAAAACAACTTATATTTTGAAATCGTGAGTATTAAAATTGTAAAAATAAAATTTGATTATAAAATTTGATAATCAATTTTAATATTTCTTATATGAATGTATATGCATATTAATCCGCAAAAAAGCTATAGTCATAAAAATATTAACTTTTAAGAGAACAAAATACTATGAAATTTATTTTAAATACTAAATATACATAAGGATTATATAAAAATAGTTTTTTTATTATTATTTCTAATAAATTATGTAAAATTGTATATAACTGAGTCAATACTTATACATTCTTAACTTTTTGATTCAATAAAATTATTTTTAATATCAAAAAGTTTAATAAAATTATTATATAATATCTTTACAAAAATATTTTAATTTTTTTACCAAGTTATTTGTTGTATAAATTAAAAATTTATGATATTTAACTTTTTAATCAAATAATATTTATAATATTATATTCTATTAACATATTCAACTATTTTTTATTGTTCAACTTTTTATTAATAATTTGTACTTATTATAAAGTTTAAATATTTATATTATTTGGTTAATTTATATGGTTCTAAAACCATATAAAACCAAAAATAATTATGATAATAATATCTATTAAATTAAGTTCCTGCTTTTTTATCATTTATGTATTTTTATATTAATTTATGAATCATCTATCTACACATCTTTATTTTCAATTTTAGTATTTCAAAAATATTTTTATTTATTAATCATTTGAGTAATTTATATTTTTTTATGAAATTCGAATTAAGTTATAACACAGAATATATATATATATATATTACTATATGAATGATGTGATAATTTATTTTTCTACAAAAATAAAAGATAAAATATAGTATTTAAAGAAATAATTAATATGATATATTTTTGATTAGAAATGGAAAAAGAGAATATCTTGATGAATCATCATCAATTAATATATAACCAAATTAATGTGAGTGGCATAACATGTAATTAATTTAGTAATATAAGTCTATTTTTATAACTTTCTGAAAATGATTATGGTGATGACACATCAGCAATCAGCAAAATGACATCACTGTAATATTTTATAAAATTAAAGTTATTCTTTAAAAATGTTTGTCTTTTAATATATATTAGGGATTCTATTTTTCTTCTTTTTCTCTGTGTGAGTGGTTAATATAAATCTCCAGCTAGTCTTTCCTACACTCGATTATTGAGCTAGACTAGAATAGATGGGCTTAGTTATTTGAACTTCAGCCCAAAATGAAAATACAGAAGCTGGTTACAAAGCCCAGCTGGAATAACGACTAAGTTCTAAATTCTAATCGAACCAAAAGCTGATAATTGTAAACAGACCGAAATCACACTTAAATACTAATCGTTATTTGAAATCTGATTTTTCTATGTGATTTGAAATCTCTAGATTCTAGTTTGAATTCTATTTAGTTGTAACAGCAAAAATATTCAGGTAACGGGGAATAACGTATTCGAATTCAAGTGCAATGAACTTAGAAGAGTGTTTTAGTACTATAACTCTACAGTATTTTTATTGGCGATTTCAAATTTTCAAACAACTTCTCTCAGGCTTCATAACGGTCAAAACAGAAAAGTTAAAAAAAAAGTAACGTTTTTTTCATTTTATTTATAACTAGTTGGTGAATATTATTTTTATGCATTTTTTTGTATTATCCCCTACACATTATTTGAGAAGTGGAATTAATAAAAATTGCTGATGTGTCACACTCACAATCAAAGTTAGTATATTGTATTGATGACATGTAAATGTGACATGTCAAATTTTCTAAAATAAATGAAATATTTTGATTGGTGAATTAAAATTAAAGAAACTTAAAATTAAACATAACTACACTAGATTATAAATAATTTTAAAGTAACAAAAAAAGATAATTATTATGATTAATTTTTGTACATATTCATAATTAGATAAAGTAATAGTACGATAATTTTACAATACATATACATATTTATATATTATAATTTCATATTAAAAGAAAAAATATATAATATTATATTATCTAATAAGATAGTAAATATTATATATATTAATAATATTTAAAGTATGATATATTCTTATTTTGGAAAGTTATTAATTTATGAAAATTTATAATAATAACATCTAAAAGGTTTAAATTAGATACATTATTAAATGGTAGAATTTAAAATAAAAAAGAATCATGATACAATAATTTAAAGAATAAAAGGATTTAAAAATAATAAAATAATAATTAACTTTTATTGAAAGTTTTAAAAGTAATAACTTAAAATAATTTGTATGTTCGAACCATTACTTATTATGGCAAATGAATAAAGTATAAACTAATTATTATTATTTTATAGTATTAATATGACCATATATTTGTATATAATTTTAACACTTTTTATACTGCTGTTTTTCTAAATTTTCATAGTTTTTATTACCATCTCATCTTCTCTCTTATCATATTTTACATATCGAGAATTTAATATCATAAATAAAATAAAAATAATCGAATGAAAGAATAAATGATAATAAGATGAAAAAAATATAAATAAGAAGTAAAAACAAACATAAATGTTTACAGTTTTAGTTATTCGTAAAAATATTGCAGTTTGTTTGACAAAGTTATTTAAATTTTTTTAAAAAGACACGTTATTTTTTAATGAACACATGTGTATACCAAATTTTATAATACATATTTGCTTTTATAAAAATATGATTTCACAAATTTCATAACAAATTCTTATCATAATTTTTATTGAAAAAGAAAATTACTAATGGATTATCTAATGTACTATATTTATCTTCATGGTAAAGTGAAATCTTATATTTTATTTTTTTAAAGTTTTTTGTAATTTTTTTTAACATTTAATTTAATTTTTAATTTGAAATTATATATCACAAAACGTAGAAAATAATTTACCAAAAACAAAAATCGCTGAAAATAATAAATTTTGATTTGATACTAAACGATAGAAATGATTTTCGTGATTGTTGATAAAAGCCGAAAACTATATTGTGTAAAAACATAACGTTTGCGGAAAATATTAGAAAAACTAACCAACACCTAAATATTACAATTTATTTATTTCTGACTCATACTTACATGCATATATATACATATTTATTTCTTTTATAAAATTCAATCATAACATATTATAAATATATATGTATATATATATATATATATTACAAAACATATGCATTGCTATTTTCTTTTAACACATGAAAATCATACTCGTTTTTTCCACAAATGTGCGTATGAATATAAATATTAATTATGCAAAAGTCAAAGTCCCATACGAATTTGTCGTCCATGAAATTTGTTAACCTCGATTACAGTGCAACCATCTACTCGCTCTTAGGATAAGTAAAGATGGTAAAACTCAATTTGGTTTAATTAACAATAGATAAAAAAAAATATTATGTATGAATAGAGTATCATCAATATACAATATTAATCATATATTAAACATATAAATTATTTTATAGTCCGCACACGGTGCAGACCGATCACCTAATATTTGTTATATTGTGTAATCTTGAGAATTTTGGGATGAATTTTCCTTTTTCACCTATACTCATTTCAAATTTTATGTGCTATTCCTAAATCTGTTCAAATATTATATATTCGTAATTATTTATTTTGTTAATACATGTATGAAAAAAGAACACATATGTGAGATGAGATATTCAGATTATCCGTTTAAGAATTATTATTTTTAATTCATTTTCCAAAATATAACAATTTTTTTTGAATTTTCTAAAAATATATGTTTCGAAATGGATTCATATTTAAATTATTGAGTGTTTGGAAATAATTTTAAGATAAAAGAATTCTCAAATCATTCTCATTACATATATTTTTCGTTCCATTTTTATTGGATTTCTTTTGATTTGTTTTTTCACTTCCATATTATCTATTTCTATCTCATACCTATAAATTTCTCCCCAGAATCCATTACCTCCACATTAATGATCATATCGGTCTCATCCTTGTTTTCAATCTCTTAACAAGTGGTGCAGACTTTCCCTCTTATCGACGATTGGTGCGACTGGCACTCAACATTCGTATAAAATTGAATTCGTGAATGATACTATCCCTAAACCTCATGCGGATCATGTTAACTTTGTCTCGTGGTCATGTTGTAATGATATGATGGCTACATGGCTATTGAACTCTAGTTATAAAACAATTAGTACTAGTCTTCTTTATATGATGACCGTTGAAGTCATTAGAAATAGTTTGATGAATCGCTTTAAGCAAGATTATCTTGCTTGTATATTTTTGAAATTGAACAGCAATTATGTGTAGGGACTTAAGGATCTTGTGATATTAACGAGTGT